GTATGTATGTATGTATGTATGTATGTATGTATGTAGGCAGGTAGGCAGGTAGGCAGGTAGGCAGGTAGGCAGGTAGGCAGGTAGGCAGGTAGGCAGGTAGGCAGGTAGGCAGGCAGGCAGGCAGGCAGGAAGGAAGGAAGGAAGGAAGGAAGGAAGGTAGGTAGGTAGGTAGGTAGGTAGGTAGGTAGGCCCTCCTCTGTGCAAAACCATTCAGGCCTCTTTGAGGCCTTGAAGGTCCCGGGAAAGTGACCGATGTTCGGTCTCCCGCTCGCTGAGCTCCTAGTGAATTTCACGGCTTCACAGAGGTCTGTAGAAAGCCGTGTGGAATAGCTTGGCCTCAGACCTGGAGGAGGTCCACGCACCTGTCGGCTTCGCTGCAGAGCTGGGCCTGGCCGTCACAAGTCCCATGCATAAGGCCCCGCCCGCCATGCCCTGCCCCCAAGTGCTCCATTCCGCCTTGGCATCTGCCACTTTGTGGGCCATGGCCATTTGGGCCTTCGAAGCAATCCAGGCGCTTGCCAACGAGAACCCTTCCCGCCAACTCCGAGTGCCTTCTGAGCTTCAAGGAATCTGGTCGAGGACCGCTCCAGCTCGCGGTGCAACTCCCTTGCCTTCGGGCAAACAGCAAAAAGCAGCCGTCCCGGTCCCGGTGGGCGATCGGCCGCAGGCCTCTGCTTTTAAGGGCTCAATGACGTGCGGATCATTGCCCGCAATCCTCGGTTCAATCATGCCGGCGGCGATGAAAAACATGCAAACTCGTTTGAGATCATGAGAACAACACGATCTGTCATGCATCATTGGATATCATTGGCAAGACAACACTCTGTGAAAGTTGGACACACAGGCCCGTATCACATCTCCTGCAGAACAAGAGCTGTGCTTCGAGACCAGACTCAAACCAGATGCGTGGGGTTTCTTCTGGTGCTGTAAGGTTTAGCGTTTCAGACTTGCCGCATCTTGTCGCTTCCATCCTCGGACGCTCTGGACAACTCTGCCCATACTATCCCAGCTTATCTGTAGGGCGCTGTGCAACCCCCCACAAACAACAAATGCTGCAAGCTGCTGTACATCGCTGAAGCGGCGCTGATCAGCTGCTTGGCTCAAACGTCGGACTAGCTCCTGGTTTGTCAGAACATTCGGCATGCAATCAATCTCACACGACCCAAGGGTGAAAGTCTGTCAATTACAGTAAGGAATGCGCAAAGGGATTCTCGTCGGCTTCAATTTTCTTCTGCTTCTTCTCTGCCGCGCCTGGCATGAGGGGTTGGGTACATCCTGCCATTGCTTAGTTTGCTACACAGCGAAGGAGGACTCGCACGTCTGCTTCGTCATGAATCGGCAAAACTGGCTGAATCCGGCTCATGATTCCTCACCCAACATCCCGGGCTTCCGAATCAACTCTTGCGACTATCGCCCACCTTGAGATGTTTCCATAAGCTGCCTCATCACAACTTAACTGCCAACTGCAAGACTGCAGGCATTGGAAACTGCATTCATTGGTTACAGGTTAGGGTATAATGTGGCGCTGAGTGGCTTTCATGGCACCTGCTAGATCTTCTAGCAATATCGCCTAAAGCCGAAAGCCAAGCTGCTGGATAGTGCGCGCCAGCTCGGCCTGGCAGCTGCCAGCATGTCAGAAAATCTCATGTGCCCAACATGCGGTCAGCCTAGACTACGAGCAGTTGCGGCTTGACCAGCTGCCTGTATGGACTGATCCAGGCCCACAATGATTTGTATGGCCTCTTCCTTGGCAGCTGCCTCCAGAATGGTCAGAGAGCAGACGGCCATTCAGTCACTCATGCTACCAGCAGCAGCAGCAGCAGCAGCAGCAGTAGCCGGGTCAGTAGCAGTGCCAACAGTACTTCGAGCAGGACCGACAGCAGCAGCAGCAGCAGTTTTGGCAACAGCAGCTAATGCTGCTGTTGTCGTTGTCCCTGATTTCTGGTCTGATTGTCATCTTTGGCAGCATACGTGTTCGTGGCGTTTGGTGCCCATCGCTCAGAGAAGTTAGAAGTTGGTCGGTCCTCCAGGGGCTTGGAGTTTGCGATACGCTAGATTCAATTTTGGCGCCCCTTTTGCGGATCAAGCATTGCCACACCGCTGCGGATCCGGGTCAACAATACTGGCAGCTAATGGTTTGCCACTCCTGTTGAGGATCAGGGTTTGCCACTGCGTGCAGGCCCTTCGGGATGTCGTTGCCCACTACTCTTTTTCTGTCGGTTCGGGGACTCGGGGAACATCCCAGGAGGGTCGGGGGGGGGGGGGGGGGGGNNGGGAAGTTTCAAGCCAGCCTGACGAGGCTCTCCGCAAATGGTTTCCAGATACCAAGGGGATTTCGACACGACGTCGATAAGACTTTTTGATACGATGTTACAACAAACATCCGTGTGGTTTGAATGGACTTGAAACTGTATGCCTCAACGAGGCGTCATGCAATCCGCAACTGCAAAACGCATGACAACCAAGGTTGAAGCGCGTCACAGAGCAACGGAACCCACCCCTTACATCCGTGACGTGCAGTGCGTATCAGTGACGTGGAACAAGTTCGTGGGAGTCTCGCAAAGACGTGCTTCATTTCACAATTCACGAGCGCACTGCGCCACAGCGAGACTCAGAGGATGCTGAATTGCCTTGGCCTGCGAGCGCAGCAGGACAGTTGCGGCTACAATCAGGAATCCCAACGACACAATTTGCTTTTGTGTGTGTGTGTGTCGGTTATCGGCGTCCAAAACAGCATTCCTTTCGTGGCGTATCGGTGCACGCCGGTACCATCTTTGCATTGGTTCATTCATGTTCATTCGCAAACTTCGTAAATGCACAAACATAAGGGCATGCATGGGTAGGTATGTCTCATGTGTGCCCTCACGCTTGGAGACCGAAGCAAGGCGGGCCTCAACGGCCACTACAAGAACGGCCGCGGCGATGTTCCGCGCCTCCGACGAGGCCATTGCTTGCGGCCGCGCCCAAACATCGCTTTTTCCTGGGAGCCGCACTGCTGCCGGGCCACCGAGCTCGGCCACGGCGGGTTCGATGAGGCCTCTCACGAGCCGCATTCTGACGCCCTGATTCTCGCGGCTCCAGAATGCTCCAGACCTGGCCGGAAGGCGTTCAGCATCTCCGCAGCCCGCCGCCGGCGCTGCGAGGGGTTCCGTTGACGCGCACCTTTGCGTCGATAGATCTTGGCGAGCGGCGCAGAGAGTCCTGCATGTCCCTGCCTTGGTCTGGATCACCGAGTCCGAAGATCCTGAAGAGCATAGAAACAGAGTCCGTCTCGACGATTGCCTGCCAGCTGCAGAGTGGAACTGAAAAGATGCTCCTGATGCATCACTCCAGCACTCACCCAACAGCCCACACGACGACCAAAGACGGTCGCTGACCGGCACTAGGAGGGCGCTGCCCCCGGCCCGCAAGACCAAAGCGCGAACGAGCACCCTTCTGGCTGTTGCGGGCCTGGCCTCCAGGGTCGGAGCCGGCTCGTCGCTGTGACTTTGCAAGCATGCATTGGCCCAGGCCTTTCTGCATAGACTGACTTGGAGGCGCCGCTTCTCTGCCACACTACTGAGTCGCAGGCCAGCAAAGCTGCGTCACAGGCATCTGGACCTTAACCCGGCGCGGCTTCCAAACGGTCCCAACCACACCTATCTTCAGCCCAGAAGACTTCAAGAAGCTGGGACACGGACCAGAGCTCATCGCACATTGTGCTCACCTCCAGGCCGCGCTGGGACACCTGCAAGTTCGGGAAGGCGTCGTTTCCTTGCGCCCTTGCAAAGAAGCAGCAGCGCAGTGCCCACCTGCTGTGAGGATGCCCACATTTCCATCGTGTAGCAGTTGAAAAGCTAGAACAAGGACAGCGTGGTGCGGCGATGAGCGGTGAAGCAGTCAACACGTCAGATCCTCTAGTGGCCCTCTACAGCACTAAATGCTATCTATTTCAATCGAGTCGAGACAATGCGACGCTTGAGTGAGTGTAACGTGGCGGGAAGCCAACGTGAAAGTGGTCCGGCAGCGACAAAGTGTGTCTGTGTAAGTCTTTGTGTGGTGGCTCTTGCACTGCAAAGGATCAGCGATGCGGGAAACTTTCCGCATGCGTGCCAAGAAGCGCACTACGAATCACCTCAAAAGCGAATTCTGCAGTTCTCAGCCATCGGAGTTGTGGCCTGGTACTGTACTCCCGGGCTCCTCAACTCAAAAGCGGCCGCATCTCAAGGAAGACGCCGGCTCCTTTTTGTTAACTCATCTTTGGAGCTACAGCAAGCCAGCGCAGCAAGAGACGTTATTTTTGCAACTTTGGATGCGATCAGACGTCACAAACGTTGTCCGGCCTTTGTCAGCAGTGCTCGTCTCAGCAAGGACAAATAAACGCCGATAACGTCACAGGACCGGGCAGATGCCGCGTGCTTGACTGCCTTCCATAGCATGCTGTGAGCGCTGCAGAGCTGACATCCAACGGACCGGCCTGCTTGTCAACCTCCACGCGCCCGAAAGAAACGGCCGGAAGACTCAGGGTGCATTTGACTGGCTTGATGCGACTGCAAGAACATTCATGAACAAACATGTCGACGTGCACCAGTCGCAGCTTGTGCAACTTCTTTCCCCAGCCCTCCTCCTCTGCAGGTCCACGTGTCGCCTGGGCTGCGGTCCCGGACGCTTCGGCCTGCAGGGGGGTTGAACATGTCTGGCAAATCAGGCGGCCTCGAGCAAGCCCTGTGCTCCAGCAACATGAGGCTGCAGCAGGCGTGAGTCGCGAAGGCCACAGCGGCGACAGTGCCTGAGACCCGGAACTGACCTGACGAAACTAAGGCAACGCAGTGGCCGGCTTGGCTTCCCACTCCTGTGTGTCGAAGTTCTTTGCTCCGCAAGAACCACAAAGCCTTGGAATCTCTTGCACTGTGACCTGTTCTAAGACTTGAGCCTTTTAGATGCCTCTGAAGCTAGCCACTGGACACTAACAACCGAGGGCAGTTCCACTCGCCATCTCCGAGAGCTTCGGCGCGGGATTTGGGATACTCCGGAATTACCTAGCAGATGCGCCGTTATGTTGCATGGCGCCTTCGCAACAGCATATTCGGCCCCGACATCTTGAAGCTCTTCTTCGTCATCCTGTCTCCGGTTGATGCGGCAGCTGCAGGAAGACATGGCCAGACCACAGAACTTGCCAAGCTCCGAGCATGCCACAGCAATTTGACGGGCTTCGAGTTGATCCTGCGCCACGGTCTTGAGCCAGCCGGAAGACAATCTTGTCTCTATCGCCCGGCCAATGCTCCTTGTTCGCTCCCCCGACTTCTGTGGAGGTCGTCGCCGCCACTTCAGCATCACAGGGCCTGAATTCTAGGCTTTAACTGATGGTGGAAGACTTGAGGGAAAGGTCAAGGCCAACGACCGACATAACAAATTGCGGGAGAGGAGGGAGTCCGAGTGATCGCTGTCGAGCGGGTGTTGTGGGTGCTTATCCACTTCTGCTTTGAAGTGCCACTGTTTGCAATGTTTGTACTGTTAAGGTCAGCTCTAGTCCGCATGCTTGCATCATTCTGTTGTGACAGATCTTGTTGACGTCCTTGTTGCCACTGCTGGTTCTGTCGGCATTGTTGCAGTTGCTGTTCTTGGCTGTTCCTGTGGTCGCAATACCTTCTTATTGGCATAGATTCCATAAGGATCACCCCAACCCCCGCCCCCACCAGAGAAAAAATTATGAGTTCCTGTGCGGCTTTCCTCCTGTCCGACCCTGCCAAAAGCAAGGCTAAACTCAAGCCTAGCTCCACTTTGGTGACATGGGATCCTGACACCTCACTTCTGACATTGCCACTGCTTCAACAGCACTGCTGCACACCGCACCAGCCCCGGACCAACTATGGCGGGAAGAATTTCCTCTGCGGGACGCCAGAACAAGATCTCGGGATCAATGAGATTGACCTGGCTTCGCTTGGCTTCACTGAAAAGACTTACACGTTAGCGTCGCAAGGCTCTTCGCTTGGCCCATGCCCTTCTCCAACCTGCAGCACTTCGTCGCCCTTCTGCACCCCGAGCTTCGCCGCTCTGGAGCCGGGCCTCGAGGCTCGAGGCCGAACAGAAGCACAGGGAGCACCGCAAAACCTCCTGAGGTCGACACAGGACCCGTTGGAAGTAGACCGCATCTCCTTCCCCACCTTGTCACAGCTTTGTCACAATGCGGGCACCGCTGCTTCTCAGGACACGGACCTTCCAGCACCACCTCGTTTATTGCATCGCGCCTGTCCTCACGGCAACTTGCCCAGCTGACTGTTGATGAACCCTGACCCACTACACTGCTGGAGTTCAAGGAAGATGGCCTAAATCTAGAACGTGCTGGTCTATCACGGCCACAGTGCGTCTGCAACAAAAGCACAAGCCACGGCCTCATAATGCAAGCAACCGCCACTAGGCTTATCCGCAACCTGCACCATGCACACTGAGGTCGGAAAACTCGAGTCTCTGCCCTGACGCACCGAGCTGTGCCCGGTGCTTGGTGCTTGTCTTCGTCTTGAACAGAGTACCGGGTGCCTCAGGAGACACTCTGCGCATTCCTGCCCACGGCTATGGGTAGACCGCTAAACACTGCTTGACGCTGCTGCGATATGGAGCAACTAACGAAGTGATCATCTGCATGCTTCCTCGGAGCGAGACCGAGTCTGAGCAAACGCACTAGGCCCAGCCAGCAACCTCATTGACATATCGATTGCAGGTCAAGCTTCCATGAGAATGCCCTCAACACAACTTACAGCAAGCACACCTGGCATGCTGGGGCCACCTGAAGTGCTCCCTTCCTGAGAAGCTTGCTCTTGCTCTTGTTCGGCTCGGCAGCCATGCTGATCTGGGCGTAAGCCAGGGTAAATAGCGGTTCAGACTCAGAACAAGTGCCGCACCGTTGACTCCAGGAGGCCATGCAGGCTCGAGCCAGCGCGGCTGCACGAAGCAGTCGCAACGTTGCACGGGGAGTGTGCACTGACACAGAGACAGACGCCGTGCGCAGCGCTGCGCTTCTCGCAGAATCTTTAGGCATCTTGGCCAAGCGAGTCTTCTGCGACTCTCCCCATCCCCGGCCAACACAATGACTGCCGTGAATGCTAAAGATACTGCATGCGTTATACTGTTACTGTAGCAGGCTCTCAGCTAAGTATCTAATCTAAACTCTCTGAGGGTGCTGCTACCTTCTAGCATCGTCTCCAGCCATCACTTGCACAGCAACCCATTGCTCATGTTGGCCAACCCGAAGCAGCTCCAAGCAAGCCGCCGCGCTGCGAAGACAGCGTATCCGTTCTTTGACGTTGTCTCCCAGGCGCTTTCCCACCCCCAGGCCATTATGGCCGCTCGCCCCTGGCTGCCCTGGCCTGGAGTTGCTCGTTCGAAAGGCGCCTACTTTTGATATGACTCATTATGCTTATGAGCAATACTGTCAATATCGTGGCTGGAATCCGCTTCTTACCGTCTGCTTCAACACTGAATCGTGCGATTTGTGTAAGGAACCAAGCCTGCGACTACGAATGGTTTTGGTTTCAGGACGAGGCGTCGCCCGTTTGGCGGTTCAGGATAGTTGAGGGTTTGAGGGCTTTGTTCGAATGCCAAACTGTCAAACGACCCCACAAACGACGGCCCGCTCAGTTAGGACGTCGCGAACTCATTGGCATCATCTCCCTGATGGCCACCATCAGACCTCAGAAGATTCGTGCATTGTTCCGTGTCACTTGCGAAAAGCCCTGCTGGGGCATCGTCTTCTTGATGTCCGAATCTCCCTGGAAGTCAAACTGATCCACGATTCCACCAGCCCACGTGCTGTCCTCGCGACATGTAACGTTGAGGGGGCAGCAGAGTTCGTGACGCGCAGGTGCCTCGTCACCCTCGTCTAGGCAGACATACGAGTTCAGCTTTCCCTGGCTGGCCTGGACGGAACATCTCACCATCAGTCCATGTGCCGACTTCTCCGCAGCCCGGTGGCCTCGTATGCCATGAAGTTGTCAACCGGCTGGTTGACAGAAGTGCTGGCTGCCAAGAGCAGCTTCTTTGCACCAGCCTCGCCAGACTCGCAAAGGGTCTAAGACATGCGCGGGTGCCGAAAGCTGCGTGCGTGTTTGTTGCGGCCTGCGAGAGGACATATGCAACAGTCGTCCACACGTACTCTGCCTTTCAAGCTTCCAGGATTTTCCAGGCTCAGTTTGAGGAACAGCCGCCCAGTGGACTTGAAATCTCTGCAAAAGCGCGCCTTCCGGACGAACTGTCGGTCCTCTGCCGACAGCGTGCCTTCAGACTCCTGCCATGTCATGCGCCGTCATGCGCGACGGCTCGCGAGGCGATCAAGCGCGGCCATGGTGAGCCTGCGCCCTTTGCAGGTGGGGCCGCGCCTCCTTCAGGTGCATGAAGTTCCCACCTCGCCATCCAGACCAGCCCAGGTACACCACGTCCTGAGGAAGCAGGGTTCTCTCTCAACGTCAGCCTCGGGGTTGTAAGCGTTTGGGTAAGTCCGGGCTGGGCGTTTTTCGGGTGTGCGGGTAATTTGGGTTTGGGATGTTGGCTTTTTTCAATGGCTAGGGCTATTTACGTCTAAGGTTTGGAAGTGTTTCGGGCTTGGGGTTGGGGGAATCGGAGTGTTTAGGAGTTTGGGTTGTTTAGGGTTTAGGAATTTGGTGTCAAGTCTACGAGGTATAGGGTTTCGGGTGGGTTGCGATTTGGCGTTTGGGATTTGGGAATGTTTAGGGCTTTGGGCATGCTTAGGCTTTACGGTTTGGGGTTAAGGGCCGGTTAAGGGCGCGGGGAGTAACGGGAAACGTTTTGCGAGAAACGGAAACCGATTTTGCAAACTTGTAACAGGATGTAACACGAAGGCACGGCCGCAGCAACAGCAACCAGACGACC